GCAGCTGATGGACACGATGTTGACTGGTATCACGGGTACTGCCGCATATTTGGATGATATTATCGTTATGGGTCGCACAAAAGAAGAACTGTTTAACCGACTAAATACAATGCTAAGACGGATTCAAGATTATGGTTTCAGAATCCGAGAAGACAAATGTGACTTATTCATGCCCTCCATCAAATATCTTAGTTTCATTCTGGACAAAGATGACCGTCGACCAGATCCAGAGAACATTAAAGCCGTTAAAAATATGCCACCACCGAAGGATTTGACTTCACTCAGATCATTTTTGGGCTCATAAGTCACTACAGTGCATTTGTTCCTAATTTGCATCGCTTTCGAGCTCCAATGAACCAGTTTCTAGCCAAAGACCAACCATGGCATTTTTCAACAGAATACCAGAATGCCTTCGATTGCGTCAAGTCAATGCTCAGCTCAGACCTGCTTCTGACACATTTTAACCCATCACATGATATCATTGTGGCAGCCGATGCTTCAAACAGAGGAGTTGGTGCAGTCATCTCTCACAAGCTACCAGATGGATCACAGAAGGCCGTTTCACATGCCGCTAGGTCGTTAACTGCAACGGAGCGCAACTGCAGTCAAATTGAAAAAGAAGCCCTAGCTATCATCTTTGCTGTGACGAAGTTTCAAAAAAATGCTGTACGGTCGAAAATGCACACTCCTCACCGACCATAAGCCGCTGATAGCAATTTTTGGCTCCACAAAAGGTATTCCAGTCTATACTGCTAACCGCCTTCAACGTTGGGCACTGATCCTCCTCAGCTACGATTTTCAGATCCGCTATCAATTGACTACCTCCTTTGATCAAGCAGATGCGCTGTCAAGGCTTATCAACTTTCAGCGACCAGAGCCCGAAGAAAGAGTCGTTGCTTCGATATTGGTGGAACCAGCAGTCGAATTCCTCGTTAACGATGCTCTACGCAATACACCAGTAACAGCTGAAGAAGTTAGGGAGGAAACACGACACGACCCGCTGATCAAGAAGGTCCCACAATTCCTCCACACTCGCTGGTCAAAATCGCACAACTCCACCGAATTGCGCCACTTCTTCCAACGGAAAGATTCTTTGTCGATTGTGAACGGTGTCATTCTATTCGCTGAAAGAGTTGTGATTCCAAAGACACTGCAGAAAAGAGTGCTCCAACAATTCCACACCGGACAC